CCATTATTTTAGAAAGGTGATGATATCCTGATGAAAATGAGGAAGAGTTGACCAAAGTGATGCAGCGGTGTGCTGAGGTCAGGTCAGGTCTGTCACCAGATTGGCTCCAATAGAGGAGAGACGTTCGGCCCTTAAATACTGTCAACATAAAACCGTCCAGATTGGAGGAAACAGGAATCTTACCTCACCTCCACCTCGCCGGCCTATCCTCCATCATGAAGTGCTTTTCTGCTTCTCTGCCTTCTTCCAGCGCTAACTCGAAACAACCAATCAGAGCCAGGTGGCGGGTTTTAGCGCTGCGCTCTGCTGAGCTACAGCTTCTTCTTGATAGTCTGCCAAGGATGCTAAGACTAGTTGTCTCTTTTAAAAAAATCAAAAAGCTCTTTTTGAAGCTTCACTTTCATTAAGTCATCTCAACATGGCTCCTCTATTCACCCTTCAACAACGTTTTTACCAGCATTGCACTGAGCAGTAGCTCCTATAATGAGCTCAGCTGATGCGCGGTTCCACCAGCTGTTGCTAATTGCTGCTGGCTAGTCTGAAGGAGCTGAGTGGAGGAGGGCTGCTCTGAAAGGTTGAAGCTGGGAAGCTGGGAAACTGCAGCTCTGAGGAGGAGCTGTGCCTTGAAGGCGGAGCTACGTCCACCCAGGCGTTTTGCACAGCTGAATGGTTGCCATGGAGATGAAAGGGTTTTGCAAATCAAAGCAACACTCCAGGTATGTGTTAGACGAGGGAATAACATTCTAGTGTGATGAGTAGCTCAGTAAAGTCGATGTTACATAATACCGCCCCTTTAAAATATCAAATCAATATAAAATATATTTTGATTCTACATTCATGGCTTTCCTTTTCATGAAATATGCAGTTAATCCTCACCAACAAGTACAATTTATTCCTCCAGAAAAAAAAATAGACTGTTAGTAGAACTTTTGACACATAAATACAATTAAGTAGATTGATAATCACGATTAAGTTGCACTTTTGTGATCACTGATTTGAGGAGTTATCATTCTGATCACGAAAAAAAAAAATCAAAAATAAAGATACCAAGCAGAGATTGGTGATTGATGAAAACGAGGAAGAGTTTAGTCATTTTTCCGAGAACGAGCAGGCATGTTCAGTCTGATCTGTTCTAACTGCAGAACCACTGACCTCTTATGAGAATCTGATTTCTGGAACTGAAACGGTTAACATGGAGGAGCACAATGCTGATGCTTCGTGGTGCCTGACAAGTTTCCAGCAGGGAGAAAACAAAACCAGCTGCACAGACATCTGGCATCAGCTGGAGGAGTTAAATTATATTTCAGCTCACACACACACAGCAATTTTCTATAATCCCTCTAACGCACTCAGTTCACATCTGTAAATAGCAGCCAAAGAAAGACCCAGAAGGAATCTGTGCTGTTTCACGTCTCTCTCTCCAGTGCAGAATGAGAAACAGGATTTCAGATGTAGGTTCATTACTTGGGGAGAAAAGATTCTGTAAATGAGTTTGAACCACTGAGTATTTAAAGTCTGAATCTGTTTCCTTCTATATTAAAACTACTTGGCCTTAAACTGTTTCCCATCTTCCTGCATTGCAGACAAAAACTTCAATGTATTTGAATATCGACGTCTGGGGAAAAAAAACCCAACAACAATAGTGTCAGTTTTATTAATATAACATGTTGAATAAAAGCTGACCAGAGTGCTGCGCAAGATCAATAAACATTGGAAATGAAAAGGTAAGATTAAATAGAATAGAATAAAACACAGCAGCCTAACACGCAAACAACACAACACAGAAGACCAAGATATGACGTCAAACTGCAGCATTAGGACCGGGGGCCACACCGACCACATCTGGCCAGAGGAGCTCAATGCTCCTGATGGGACATGTGGCTCACACTGCTTAGTTTGAAGAGTGTCTGTTGAAGCATCTCAAACAATCAGTTTAATTTATATTGATAGAGATTTTCAGGGCTAATGGATGTGTAGGATGGATGTGAAGGATAGATGTGTAGGATGGATGTGTAGGATGGATGTGTAGGATGGATGTGTAGGATGGATGTGAAGGATGGATGTGTAGGATGGATGTGTAGGATGGATGTATAGGATGGATGTGTAGGATGGATGTTAGGATGGATGTGTAGGATGGATGTGTAGGATGGATGTGTAGGATGGATGTGTAGGATGGATGTGAAGGATGGATGTGTAGGATGGATGTGTAGGATGGATGTGTAGGATGGATGTGTAGGATGGATGTGTAGGATGGATGTGTAGGATGGATGTGTAGGATGGATGTGTAGGATGGATGTGTAGGATGGATGTGGATGGATGTGAAGGATGGATGTATAGGATGGATGTGTAGGATGGATGTGTAGGATGGATGTGAAGGATGGATGGATGGATGTTTAGGATGGATGTGAAGGATGTAGGATGGATGTATAGGATGGATGTGTAGGATGGATGTGAGGATGGATGTATAGGATGGATGTAGGATGGATGTGTAGGATGGATGTGAAGGATGGATGTGAAGGATGGATGTGTAGGATGGATGTGTAGGATGGATGTGTAGGATGGATGTGTAGGATGGATGTGTAGGATGGATGTGTAGGATGGATGTGAAGGATGGATGTATAGGATGGATGTGTAGGATGGATGTGTAGGATGGATGTGAAGGATGGATGTATAGGATGGATGTTTAGGATGGATGTTTAGGACGGCCCACGGCGCCATCCTACACCACTTCCGGCAAACAGAACCATCATTTCCATGTCATGTTTCCATGCTGGTTCTGTTTGTGTGTAATCATTTATCTGTTATCTGTGAAGCTGCTCTCAGGAGATCCAGGGTTCTCTTCCTGATATGCTTACTGGTTTGGCTGGATTGTTTTTGTTCATGACACAAGGAAGCAATCTATTTTGGGCGTCACCTCAAAATACATCCTTCATCAAATCTCCAGCTTCCATTTAGCTCAAATGTCAACAAAAGCTTGTAAAAGCCTGACGTCACACCTTATGGCAGTTTTTCATGGCCCAGATAAAAAACTGGGCCATGAATGAGGTGTGTATGTGTGTGTGTGTGTCTGTTATTTCATTTTTGAGACCAAAATGGTGCCTGAGTCTCAGAGCATTTTGGTTCGAGAAAATTTTTGAAAAAATTCAATTCAGTTTATTTCTATAGAGGAAATTCTTAATAAATATAACCTAAAGATACTTCGGCGGATAAAACAAGTCAATCCAATCACACATAGTCTCAAAGTCATGTGCCTTCATTCCATTAACAAAGCTTTTTGCAAGAGTCTCTTACAACCACAATTCTTGCAAAAAGTTGTGTGGATTTTGCAACCTGAAATTCAACTATTTCAGGCTGTATTTCCTACAACCTGAAATAGTTGGAGGAAAAATATGCTTTTAACAGAAATCGTTCCAAAATGTCTCAACAGCAGAATGCATGAAGACACAGCAGAGGATGTGGAGTTTACAGAGAAATGGGTCAATTTCTGAAAGAGACACAAAAAGAAAAAATAAAAGTCAGATCTTCAACTGATGCGTCACTTACTTATAAAATGGCTACTTAAAAACATCATTTAAAGTAATTTCTGAATCTTAACCCTCTCCAGGCAAGTGTTGCAGATTTGCAACAACTTACACAGTCTTTTCAAGTAATTTGAGCCTGAGAGGGTTAAGTTTAGAAATGAAGATTTAATGGAGTTTTTTGAATGATGCAAATAATGAGCAAAGATGCTGAAAACAACTGAAATAAAAAGCTTTAACAATTTAACCGTGATCACTTCTTTGAGTAGCAGGTAAAAACTCACAAGTCTGAGTCTTTCTGAAGTTCACAGAGCAGAACAATCTCTGCTGCAAGAAGATGGAAAATAAAAGAGAAAGGAAACCTGATTTTCATCACCAAGACATATTGTTCCATGTTTCTTCAAATTTAGCTTTTCTTTCTGGTTTCTCTCTAAGATGTTAACATTAAATATCCTGTTTTATTTCTCTGGTGCATTAAGCAATTATGGACTTTGTTTAAACAACAGCCTGATTGATGCAAAATAAATGTAAATTAATCAACATGCTATTTTTTGGTTTATGAAATAGCCATTTTCACCTGACATAGCACAACCTGCAGGAATCTTTTTTACGATAAAAAGAGGAAGCAGCCGTTCTCTTTTTGTAACTCGTAATATTTTTTTTTTTAAAGTTGATTTTTTTTTTTCTCTCATGACGTCCCAACATCTGACCGTCTGAATGTAGACAGAAGTGAAAGCAGTGAAAAGAGGTTTACTTTCTGAACCCAGAGCCGCAGCTGCTTGGCATTCTTAGACAACATTTAAATTCTGCGGCTGCACTGTGTAGAACATATAGTATTTGCAGAAAATGTTCTTATCGCTACATAAATGATTAGGTTTTTACTTCTGTGGTGAAATGATGACAATGTGGCGTTTGGGTTTTTCAGATGTGCAGAGAAATCTGAAAATCCTCAATGTTTTTTTTCAGGAGAAAAAAATCTGGAGAAAAAAAAGCTGATATTTTACAGTGAGCAATTGTTTCCTAATAGCTCACTGCATTATGTTTCTATGACGTGAAGCCCTTTAAACTGCCTGGTGGTGAAATGTTCTGTACAAATAAACTTGACTTGACTGACGATATTGAAGTTCCAAGATAAGTTTGCCTGAGTTTCTTTATTCAAACAGAATAACTTCCTCTGATTATTCTGTAGGTCTCTGACCTCTGACCTCTGCTCCCTCCGTCCAGCTGATAAATAGCCGCACCGTTAGCATCACAAAGTTTGTTTCTATTATGGCTGACATGACTAATATGAAGCCATATTACTCATGCAATATCATTAAGGCAGTTTTTGCTGTTGCACTTTAACATGGGAACATTTTTGGTCCTTTGTGTCGATATCCAGTTATAATCAAGAAGTGAGACCATTAATTGAAAAAATCTATTTTTTTCAGCACATCAGGTACCTGAGCGAAACACGTACATGAATTAAACACAGACTTTTGTTTTCAAGCATTTATATCTGTTCATGGTTTTTCTGCTTACAATTCATGAAAACACAACATTTCATACCACAATATTCCAGCAGACCACCAACAAGAAATGCATGTCAGATACAGTGATGTGACAAAGAAAAGTGTTTTTTAATCTGACAAACGAGCCCCATCAAAGTCCAGATCCTAAATTATTGAACACGATTGTCTGAGTCAGTGAGATCTGGTGAATATGGCTCTGGAGTAAAGTGCTTATTGTTGTCATGGCAATGAGAAAGCATCCTCCGCAGTTCAGCATCATGTTCTACTCACACATTCTGACAGGCGAGGGGATGACACCAAACCTGAAGAATTTGAGTTAACTAGTTTGGGAAAAAAGACCCAAACAAAACAAAACCCAGAATTGATAAAAATGCTTTATTTAAAAGAAGATGATCTTTGCTTCTGAACGCATTCCTTCAGTGGGTTTTCCAGTTCTCTATATTATTTTTAACAACAAAAAAATGTGAGGAGAGAAACTATTCATCTGCAGATTTACCTGAACCATCGTTACGACACTCAACGCATCTACAGTGGCTCCCAAAAGAATAAACACCCCGGTTACAATTCTGCAAATGTAATAATCTTAGATCACAATAAATCTATTTCAAAATGCTTTCCAACTTTAATGCGAGACACATTATGTCTTATCAACTGATTTACAAACAAATATAAAAAGTTTGCATTGACATAAGTTTGACAAAAACTGTTGAGCTTATATTTTCTAGAAATACTTTCTGACTTTTACTTTATTCATGGAGTAATTACAGTCGTACCTGACATTCCTTAAAGTTCTAAATCCTCTAAAATTCTGGCAGAATTTGTTGTTTAGGTAAGGCCATAGTTTTCACAGAGGTGGAAAAGATCAAAACAATCTTATTGGATGAAGGTATCAGTCAGGAGAAGGTTAATTTTATTTCTCCCACAGCATAATTACCATTACATAATTATATGTAAATGGTATGTGGTCATCAGTCACAAAAATCCAACAATCTGGATGAAATCTCCTGGATATCTCTATGAAAAAACTTTTCATTGATATCAAAGAGGCAATATTCTGTATTTTCCAGGCACATTTTATAGCACGATCAAGTAACTATGTTAGCTTCAGTTGTTATAAAAAAGCTGTACATTTTTGTCTAATATGACTTTCTAATTTAACACCCTGAAATTGGGCTTCTGTCTCTTTAAAAGCTCCTGCTCTTTCTGAAACTCAGAAAGTCATCACAACATGGTTCCTCTATCTTTGTCAATGTTTCTATAGCTTTGCTCTGAGATGTGGCTCCTATAATGAGCTCAGCAGATGAGCAGGGTTTGCTAATTGCTGCTGGCTAGTCTGAAGGAACTGAGTCGAGGAGGAGCTTGGTCTTGAAGGCGGAGCTATGCCCACCCAGTCATTTTGCATGAATGAATGGTTGCCATGGAGATTAAATCATTTCTCAAACATGCAGGAAAGAATCAGGGCGACTCTCCAGGTTTGTTTTGATGAGAGAATGATCTCATAACACGATGCAAAGCTCAAAAATTAGATTTGACATGATTAAATTTTACAATTTTACACTTTTAGACAAAGTTTTTGACAATTTTCTTGTTCTTGTCTTTATGTTTAACCTTTTTGCTCATTTTTATTTTAGCTGAATTGATTTATTGCATATTTTTGTGGGCTTTTTGCTTTGTAAATTAATCCTACTCTTCATGAACTTAACCGATATGTGACTCTAACTCACTGTGATGCTTTCCAGAGCAGGAAACATTATTTTTAAAAATCAAATATGATGGTACAAACCCATCTATAGTCTATAGTCTATAGGTTTAGCTAAAAGCATCAATCTTGTGTGCTTTAGTGGATTTCTCGGCAGTGTTGCTTTGCTGAATGCGACTGTTGACATGCTCATTGTTAAACGTCTGAACTCTGTAATGCAGAGGGAGGAACATAAAAGTTCTGTTGTGTATGTACCGTAACTCGCGGACCAAACCGGACCGATCCAGAATCGCACAACCCGAGAAAAATTGCAACATGGCGTTTCCTGCGACCGCTTTCCTGCGAAGTTCCTTCTTAGCTGTGTGTTCGCAGGAAGCTGAGACAGAAGACAGGCAGGTTGGACAGGCAGTCGGTGTTGGCTGTCACCTGCATGTCCCCAAATAAAACTCGGCCTCTGTCAGCGTTGCCGCTGCCCACTTCCTTTCTGAGCGCGGTGAGTTTCTGCAGGATGAGGTGGTGCTCGCGGCCCCTGTAGAGGCCCCTGAAGTAAAGAACCGCAACCAGATGTTTCTTGCTGCAGGTGGATGACAAAAACACACACAAGTACATTAAACCACACATAAACACATCATACAGTATATGGCAAAAGTAACCACACTCCTCACATTGTGTTAATATTATCTCCATTTGATACAACGTAAAATAGCTTGTCCAACAGTTTAAATATTACCGTCTAATGTTCTACCCTTTTAGACATTAAAGTGTGTGTTTTTCCAGCTACATAATATTTTATAGAACAGTCATCTGACTATTTTACCTTCAGTTTTTGTAAAAATGTTCTGTATATGAAATATGACTTAAAAGACAGAAAAGACAGTCTTGAAATCAGGTCTCTGTCTCTTTAAGAAACTCCGCCTTCATGAAGTCAAGATGGCTGAATAAGATGGCTCCTTTATAAACCCTTTAAGAACGTTTTTACCAGAGATGCACTGAGAGTGGCTCATCTAACAAGTCCAGCAGATGAGCAGTGTTTACTAATTGCTGCTGGCTAGTCTGAAGGAGTTGAGTTGGTTATGTTTTTGATGAAGTAATATTATAACATGACATAAAGCTCAAAAAGTTGATTTTTAATGGCCGTACTTATTAGGTAATTCAAAAAATACAAGTTGATTCATTCCTCATAAGTGAAGGAACAGAGTAGTGGTTGCTTTCAGCCAGCTGACCTTCAGTGCTCAATAATTTGTGTTGCTCTGTGTTTCATTCACCAGGATGAACCCAGATGGAAGTTTTCCATCATAACATAACAATCTTTCTGAATCATCCCAGTAAAATAATCCTGCTTTTTAGGCATATTTTTCCAAGTTTTTGTGTTTGTCTCGTCTCTAAGCATCACATTATTAATCTGTCCTCACACGGCCATAAAGAGGAAGCTCCATCTCTCCTGCAATGTCTTCTGTGTTTTTTGGTTTTTTTTTCTCACTTCTTTTGACAGCAAAACCACATATTTTCAACACAGACATGGAGCACATGATGCAATAACCTTTAAGAATGTTTCGCTTTGAGAGGATCGTCCAGTTTATCATAAACTGGGTGGATGAACGAGGTGGGTGGATAGAAAACCCTCCGTCAGCCGACTCAGAGCGGCTGCACGCAAACATCCCATCGCTTCACGTCGTTATTATGCTTTTTTTTGTTTTGTCTTGTGATTAATTGGAGCTAATCATCTACCAGTTCTGTTTTTCTTCCTGTGGAAAGGAAGGAAATGGTTTTTCCCTCCTGGAGGTTTGGTGTCAGGATAATAATAGAATCTGGTATTTCCAACGTTCAACAAGTGTTTAAATCTAAAATCAGGTTTACCGACACACCGAACAGGTTCCACAATGTTGTTATTTACTGAACAAATTCAAGCAAAAATGCTTCCAAGGGGATTAGAAAGGGAAAGTAGCAGCCATGTAATCATCATGAGTGGCACAAAGGGAAACCAAAGCAAAGCAGCAGCTCAGGCTGGATTCTCTCATTGGAGCGTTCCAAAGTTAGCCTGGAGACAGTAGGCAGGGAAAATATCATGGAATGACCTTTAGCACGATGCTAACGTCTATCCTTAAAGGGTTCCAAGACTCTGAAGGTCAACATTCAACAACGTTTGGATGATGTCAGTTCATTATCTTTCCAAGCAAGAATTTCCCTGAAAAACCACCTGGATGTAAATGTGGGGGAAAAAAACAAGGGGGGGTGGAGGGGGACCCAAAACAAAAGAACAAGAACCAACTCTTAAGAGGCATTCCATTTTTATTTTTTTAAACAGATTTATTAAATAAATTGATCAAGTAGCAACTATGTGTGTACCAGTGAACCACATCAGCACAACTACTTCTCTACTCCATCATATCTTCACCATCACGCCTCTTTGCAAACAATGACACACCTGCAATAATCTGAGTTTGTGAATAATAAAACACCGTGATGACATCATCACGCCGTCATACCCGAAGTCTGGGTAATGCTCCACCAGAGGCTGCAGGTGGCTCTTGATGTCGGCCTTGTTGCTTTGTCCGATGATGGTGCTCAGGTCGTGTCCTACGTGGTGGAGCCACTCATGGTTAGACTTCTACAGGAGAAACACAAGAACAGGTTCTGCTTACGGTGTTATGGGGCTTTTTTTTTTGTACTGCTATGGGCTGGTCCAAACGTAGGGTAGAACCATACGGCTGAAAATCATGTCATAATATAAGCGTTTTGTATCAGTAAGCATCGACAATTATTGATCAGTTCTTGTTTTAGACATCTGGAATGCTGCGTAAGGGCAGCACGGACTTTCCTGTTGTCGTTTTATTTTTAAGCAGCTGCGACGCACAGTGGTGAAAACTGAAACTGCTGCTGCACACGTTACTCAACCAGTTGTTGCTAGGTAACCAAAGAGAGAGTGAGTTAGTTGATGCCTCTCACTGTGTTTAGCTAATCGTGAGAGCTGAAGCCTACATTTCCCAGAATGCTGGAACAACACGTTCCTAAAAGCCTGAACCAAAGTGATCCGCGCCACTTTCATAGGCAGGTGACTCTAATAGCTAAGCTAATTTTGCTAGTTCGGCAGTAAATATCACCGATATGTATCTCAGTATTACAAAGAGGAGGGTAGAGTATTCAGAAATTGTAGTCAATTTTGTACTTATAGTGTTCATAAGTTAGGAACGAGGTGAGAGCTAGTTCTAAGTTTATGACTTGTTTGTTGTTTTCATAGCAACTCCATCCCAACTAAATAGTGTGAGTTTAATGCTTATCAAGATTATTTCAGATTTCCTCTTTACCATGTCATCAAACAGATCGCTGAGCTTGTTCCACTGTTCGTTGATCTTGGCTGCCGCCTTCTCGTGCTTCCGGTTCTTGCACGAGTAGTTATTCTTCATCAGCTGCCCGATGTATTCCTTCACCACATGGTAATGCAGTCGGCTCGCAAACTCCTGTCCAGCAGAGAGAGTGATGGATTATCATAACAGGATGCGCAGAAAAGGAAACGCAGGATGCTAGGTGTGTCTGTATTGCATGATTTGAAGCCATTAAATTATGTGACCTTCCACTTAAGCTTCCACCAATTCATCAGTCTCCTCTGTTGGTCTGCTGGCCGCCACACCAGACCAAAACAATTCACTGAAATGTCCAAGATGACCGATGAAAAAGGTATTCAGCGTTTCCTTTTCTGTCTTTCAGGGAAAGACTTTATCTATCCCGGGGATTACCATCACATGTATTATATAAGCTTTCCAAGACAGGAATCCCCCAAATAGAACTAAAAGCTGATATTTCAAACCAGACCGACATCGAAACATGTCCAGGACAGACAGGACATGGGTTGACAGGCTGCTTTCTCACAAGAAAACTAAAAATAGAAAGCAAGATTGCAGTTTGCAAATGCACTCAGAGACAAAGACCTTCAGAGGGACATCACGACATCCATCATCAGATTTAAGAGAAGAATATGGGACACAACCCTGCGAACACCAACTGTAAAGTACAAGGCCACGTTTGAGATCAACAGAGCTACAAGGAAGGCGAAGCTAAAGCGCGGGTCCTGTTCTGTCCCGTTGTATCTCAAAGTCTTCCAAAAGAATGACCAACGAGCACCAAGAGCAACCGAAGTCAGAGTGTTGGAGTGTCCATCACTCAGTTTTAAACTCCGCCTCACAGAAACGTATCTGGGAAAAACTAGACGACAAACCCGTCTCTGTTCACTGCAAAAAAATGAAATTTGGTCCACTTTGTCATGCAAACATCTTCCTACCCTTGAAATATGACAAAGCTAACTTACAAGTGACTTTTAGGAGCTTGTTTGAAGTCAGTAATTACTTGATATTAATAAAAAAAGATTTTCAAAAAGTGCTAGTCCCACTGGAAGATTATTTCACATATGCCATAAGGCGTTATACCAATGTTATAAGTGAAATAATCTGACACTGAAAATAGCACATTTTCATCAATAGTGAGGAATTATTGACTTGAGCTCATCTTCATGTCTTGCTGAAAAGTTATTTGTGAGTTAGTTTTCTGTTATTTCAAGCGCACTCGGGTGCTATCTGCACTGAACTGGGCCAAAATATTTGGTAGGATTCTGTGTTTTTTGCAGGATTGACCCAGTTCTGCCTGGAGGAATGGGCCATGATTCCAGCAAACTATTGCGAGAAACCCCCAAGGCTTGAAATGTGTGTAAACTACTGGATCCAAAATAGTAAAAACGTTCTCTCTCTTATTAGTTTGGCTCTTTGCAAACAAATAAGAGAAAGAAGTGGTGAGAGAAATGGTTACATGAGTATTTGTAAAAGTGGGACTTCTATTTTAAACCCATTAAGTCAATAAAGCTATTGTAAACAAAATGCTGAATAGTATTATTTAGTTATTATCTCTCTGACCAGAGGTATAACCGTACAATTACGACTTATTTTGGTCCAGCTTTCATGCTCTGTGCACAGGATGGAATCAGATCCATAAAATCAAACATTTTTTGGGGCCTAGTCAAATCCTCGTCACCTGTACGTGCGGAGGCCTCATGGCGTCGCAGTGACAGGAGAGCCGCTGTATCCGGCCGTCAAGTTGTTTGAAGTCGTCGTCGTTGGTGAGCCACTTCCTCGTCATCATCCTCCTGAGGAAGGGCTGGAAAAGAAACAAGAAATCCCACAAAAAGGAAGAAAATGTCAGTGTTGGATCCTGAGTTCATTTATTTCTTTTTTTAATATTTCCAGAACAAAAGTTTGATACGACAAGACAAGACAGGAGAATTTGCTTAGTATTCAAAAAGATTTGCCCTCAGTACAGATTATTGTAATATAGTCATAATGACTGAAAATTCAGCAACAATTCAGACGTAAAAAAAAAAAAAAAAAAAAATATAAAGATATTCCCCTTCTGGGGACATTTTCTGATGGCTCAACTTGTGTGTTTCTGCTAAGTGCCTCATTTCTAGAAATCTAAGCAGTAACTTTGACAAGGAGGTAAAGATCTCGTTTTCAGTTCCTCGTGTCAAAAAAACCACAACAGAAGCAACTGGGCTTTAGGAGGAAGTGAACGGATGAAAACAGGAACTGGGAGTTTGGCTATTAAAGCCTCTATAGTATTTGAAAACACCAGATTGCATTACCTTGACATCCTCTTTAAACTTCTCCTCCAAAACCTCCATCAGCCTGACGATGAGCCCTTTGACCTCTCGTTTGAAGGCTTCCACTTCGTGCGGACAGCTGACCTGGTACCCTGCCATGTGTTCCCTGTCGACAATAGGAAACGAAAGGAAACGTCGGCTTTGGTGTGACTTCGAGGCCGTGCTCCTACCCGCTGAAAGCTTTCACGTTTTTGTCACGTTGGAGCTGCAAACCTCGATGGATTTCAGCAGAATTTGATGCGATAGAGAAACAAGAAGCGGTGCAGAACAGAACCAGTCGTCTTTTTCAGGACGTTCGGCGGTTTTCAAATCTCTGATTCCGGTGCTGTTTCTGAAGAAGTAATGAGTGATCCCATAACAATGGGTTATAATCCCATCATTATAACCCACACACGAATAAACATGTTCGTTTATCAAGGAAATGCCTTTAAAGCTGCGTGTAGCGCCACGTGAGACGGTGATTAACAGCTCTAAGACCCGCCTCCTGGCCTTCTCCAGTTAGCACTGGGAGAAGGCAGAAGGGCTCGTTTTCTCGATCTGTCTCATACCATACAACCTGGTGACAGCTTCAACAAATATGTAAAAAATATATATTTTATCAGATGTACATCCTGCAGCTGTAACATAAATTCGCATTAAGAAGTTTGTGATTGTTGGGTTCTCACTGAGCTGGAATCTCAGTGAGAACCAGCACATTCTTCTGGAACCCTGCAGCTCTGCGTTCTGAAAAAATGTTTGAGTTACGACATTTAATTTCTCTTTGGGATTAATAAAGCATGTTTGATCTGAATGGAAGGTCAGGCAACTTTAGCTATATAGCATATTTTCAGCAAAAAGGCAAATCAAAGCGCTTTACATAAATTAGCAGAAAATACAATAAAACAACAAACCAAAGGAAAGAAGAAAAGAGAAAAAAGGAAAACAAAAAGCATAACCCTATGTTGAGAATGAGGAGTCAGTGATTTATACACTGGTAGGGATTTCTGTGGATTCTTGTTCTGATAATGTTGATCTGAGGTAATGAATATTCTCTCTAGATAAGCTAATTTATATAGAGGATTCAAAGTTTGTTCTAATTGCTGAATGTATAAACTAGAGAAGCTCCCTGAGTTTCTCTGGATAATCCTGAACTGAGTCATTTCTGTGTCAGCCAGATAGAAGGCGTGCAGATAAATATTCCCCGCTGAGTGAAACGGTAATCCACTGAGGCTCATGATGAGGCCGCCTGGGGTCGTCGTCATGGTTTGGGGCCAGGAGGAGTTGGTTAGAAAGCCTGCACGCTCCAACTGCTTCCTTTTAACAGCCCTTTCACGCTCACTGCTCCGTTTCTGTGAAATCACGTGACGGCTCACTTTCTGGGCTCAGATTAGCCCTGCAGCCTCTCGTGATTATTCCCTCCACCTCTTTGTCGTCCGGGGAAGCCACGTTTTCACAATTTCACTTTCACAATCCAGCTTTCAAAGGTTTTTCTCTCCCTCCAGCCTGATCCTCACTCTGCTGCAGACGGACAGCAGCTGGGAAACTCCCAGCAGACGGACGTCTCTGGGATGACGCAACCAAACTCTTCCATCAGAAGAGATTGCAACGCAGCAAAGTCTTCTGATGGGACAGTCGAGGTTTGTTCTCTGCATTTCAAAGTCAACACACAGAAACAGTTCATAATATTGTTCCCAGAATAACTGGAGGAGTGAGATTCTGTTTTGAACAAAATTTTTTTTATTTGTTAAAACCATTTGAAAAAAAATGTGCTTCTATTGTTTTAGACTACTTTCAAAATAAAAGCCAGATGAAAGGCAAGATGGACTAATCACAAAAGGAAGGAATTGAATGGGTCTATAAATTATACAATGAAAGTTTTTTTGAGGAGCTTGTAAGAAGAGTTCTACCGGATCAAATAAAGTCTTGTCAGAGATCAGAACCGTCTCTGTCTCCGGTGCAGTGCAGAGTGTTTCCAACTGGGTGACATTATGTGCAGATCTGGGTGATGAACCTGTTAATGGCTTGAAAGTTCACAAATGTACATGTGAAACCCATATGATCTTTTTTTTTCTTTTTGACAAAGTAGAAATCCCCTCGGTTTCTCAGAGTGAGACCAAACCAATCATCAAATCCAGATACCAAAACATGAATGTACCGCAGATATCATCACCTTCAGGATGAGTTCTGATGATAAACTAAGCAAACAAAAAGGATGCAAAGCCTTATAACTCACTGAGGGAAATAGGAAACGAAAGGAAAATATATTGAATGTATTGAATTGGACCTTGTCTAAAGTCTTTGTGTTTAAATGTTTTTCTGCCTGACCAGAGCAGCTGCATCAAATACCAGAGTGGAAACATCACACACCTCCTGGATTTCTCATTCCACGAGAGGCAGCTTGTGAATTCTGTCTTCTGCAACACTCATGTTGTAGCTCCTGCACTTTCAGAGTTCTGAAAGAGTTACTTTATAATCTGAAGCTCAGTGTTAAATCGGCATCAGAATCTACAGCATAATGCGCTCCTTTATCTGACGCTCCGACGACAAAGTCATAAACAAAGCGTTAAGTGACTAAAACGGACTGGAGCCATGCAGCTGCGAGACAGAACTGCTTCCATGAATCCCTTAGACTAAAGACAACGCTAAACTCCTTTATATGATGTCACTTCAGCATGTGAAGACTCAGGCTTGTTGCTTTCTGTTCTGAAGGTTGCCATCTGCAGTCGAGCCCCAGCTTGCCCTCGTTCACTTGTTTCCTTTTTTGTGGACAGAAATGGGGGCAGCCTGTTTGTGGGTTTGGTATCATGTTCGCCTGCAGTGCATTGTGGGTATCTCTGTGAAATCACATGACTTACTGTAAAGCCTGAAAGCTGTTGATGTAGGCTATGTGATAGTCGGTCCACAGCGGCTGTGGCTGGAGGGAGTCGCAGTGGCACCGGAACTGGGTTTCAAATCTGGAGAGGAGAGAAGACGTCTTGGTTAGAGAAGAGAAGCTGAAAAACTATTTTTAGCTCAATCTGTTTAAATGCTGAAACCAAGATGACTTCAACTGGGCCATAAAAAACATCTACAGAGAAATGTGGAAGAGTTTCTGCTGTAGTAAATGTGTCCACAGCACAGAGTTGTAACTTGAAGAAGAGACACGTCCAGCTAAAGCTCATCTGAGAAAGAACATGTTGCCAAAGTTTTGGCACTGACAGTCGGAGTTTGTGAACTTTTGAGCTGCTTTTAGATCATTCAGCAGTAATGAGAATCATGTTGATATCAATTGACTGCAAAAATATTAAAAAGTGTACAGTCTGACAGTGGTCTAAATCTAAAGCCCATGTTGAGCTTTTGTCAAGGCGTTCAGATTAACTACTGTATGCAAACGAGTCTTGTTTCCACTTCCATAATGTTTTTGAATCTCACATTGTATCACTGATTTGACTCAATGAAAGCCTCAGAGTGAGTGTTGTGTGGGGACCTAATTGACATTCCCACAGCATCTCTAGAAGAGGAAGTTGCCACATAGAAAGAAAAACCCAGGAGGGAAAAAACACCCACACACATCCCTTCCTGACCCACATGGCATATTGCAAAAGTGCATATATATATATATATATATATATATATATATATATATATATATATATATATATATATATATATATATATATATATATATATATATATATATATATATATATATATATTGTTTTGTTGTTATAACTGACAGACCAACACTGTGAGGATTTGGATTTTTCTGTGAATTTAGGTTTCTGTGTGGTTTTAAGTTCATTTCGTCTTCATGTTGTCCCAGCTACCCCTCGATTGTGTCTCGTTTCCCTTATTTAATCCCGCCTGCCTGCGTTCTGGTCGTCTAATCCGTCTCGTCTGCTGTCAAGTCAGTCATCAGATGTCAATTGTTCTACCAGATAGAAGCTCTTCGTCTTCCACTCCTTCTGTGCTGCCTGGACTTTGGATTTGGATTTATATCATTAAATATGTAATTCTTTCACTCCAGCCTCAGCGTCATCCTCATCACCTCTTCTCCGCATTTCATGACAAACACAAAGTGACACATGATTGTAGAGTGGAATTGCAATGACACGCAGCTTCAGAATCCCCTAATACAGAAATGGAGAAATTGGGATCTGACTTCATCTGGATAATGTTTTTTTTTTTTTGTCCACTCTTTGCATTTACTATCAAAACAGTAGTTCAGTTTTAGGCTCATGCATTTTATTTCTAATGACAGACTAATCAGAGCTCAGTGAAATGTTTCCTGACCGTCTGCCGAGTCCCGCACAATTCAGGACTCTGTTTGTTCAAACCTTTGAGGCCAGAAACAGATTTACTGCATCTGGAGCAGCTAAAGACACTTAAACTGGATTTTATTCAAGGGGATCAAAGTACAAGAGACTCAGTGCAAATGCACCTCATACATTTCAGATTTTTACTTGTGAATTTATGAGTAAACGACCCTCTTCTTCACAATTAGTGGCAACATGTTGGTTTTTTTCATTAGTTTCAGTTTTTAAAAAAAAATTATATATAAAAAATATTTACAAATTTTTTTTATGTGCCATAAAGTCAAGTATGGATAGAAAAACTGAAAGGAAAATGTGTGAAAAAGCTTAGATGATATAAATACTTTTGAACTGGCTGCCTAAACTATTTGAGCTTTTGACCACTTAGTTATATGAATTCAATGGTATTTTGAGACTTGAAAATGAAATTCCAGTCTGCAGTTCATAGATGTCTTAGCGCCACCCTGTGGGGAGCTGACCTCAGTGCATCTAACAGCATGGCGCTAAATCAGGGTCATGAACTTTGCTAAAAAAAAAAAACTGAAAAAAACAAACAAACTTCAAGCTGAAAAGCAGACTTTGACGTTCGTTTCTAGTTTCAAATCTATTTTCAATCTCTTGTCAGATTCAAGTCTCTTTTTTTGTTAATTTTCTTCAGATACAAAATAATTTTTCTGTTTCAAATCTTATATTTATTTCTTTATTTGGTTTCAGTTTTTTTTCACTGGTATTAATCTGACAGGTTTCATCTTTTTATTCAGTTTGAAGTGTAAAAAATAATTGTGATGTTTCCAGCACAACTGAGCAAAAGTCTCTTATGGAGACATTTTCTTTGTTCTACACCGAACCGTTTCCATCACATTGACTCACATAACCAAGACTTAAGATTAATTCCAATTTTTTGTGCATGTGAAATATGCGCACGTTTCTTTCCAACATACTTCCTGGGGAAACTTTTCAACTCCTCCAGGCAGGAAACGGTGACTTTCTTCACCAGATCAGGGTCCAGTTTTCCAGAGTTGTCCACTCTCCCTTGAACTGCCTGCAGGCAGAAAGAGGAACATGAAGCTCTGCACTGCCATCAAATGGATGCAATCCTGCATTACATGTTAGAAGATGATATTTATACTTTTATGTGCAAATTTTTATATATATATATATATATATATATTATATATATATATATATATATATATATATATATATATATATATATATATATATATATATATATATATATATATATATATATATTATATATATATATAAAATAAAAACAATCTGAAATGTTTTCAACACTATCCAGGTTATAAAAAAAGTAATAAAGGCAATAAAAAAAAGGTATATTTTACCATTTCTTCATTGTAGTTATAAATATATATATATATATATATATATATATATATCTATATATATATATATATATATATATATATATATATATATATATATATATATATATATATATATAGATATATATATATATATATATATATATATAATTCCAACAGAGTTGGGAAACAGAAGTGGTTGGCTGTTCTGTCCATATCTCATAAAAGCCACTATAATTGATTAGAATATAACTGAAGATACTCAGTCAGCTGTTCTTATTCATGTAGAGTTAGCAGGACCAGGCCACAGCTGATATGTTCACATAGGTTAGATCAATTAATATTAAAAATGATCTTTTCTGCTGATAGGTAGAATTTAAAAGCTGAATAAAAATTTCACTTTTTGTATTTAAGCTGTTAAATGTTCATAATTGCTTATCACAAATATAGATTTAAAAAGAAAAAAAATACTCTGCTTTTTATTAGTTAAGTAGAAGCAGAATGATTTATCACTATGGGGGTCTTACAGTCCAAATGTCCATAGGAAACAGAGAGAGAAACAGGTCGTCTTCCTTTCTGGGCTCCTCCTTGTCTCTCCACACAGTATCATATTCGAGTTTGATCACTTTGTCCAGCACAGAGCTCAAGTCCTCCTGCAGCACACACACACACACACACACACACACACACACACACACACACACACACACACACACACACACACACGCACGCACACACACACACACACAGAGAAAGCAGCAGGCCAGCACTGTCAAAACACGAGTCTCAGCAGGAAACAACGGGATCATTTCAGGCTGATTACTTGGAAATTTGATTTGAGCTGAAACCACATTTTCTTGTTCGTAAATGACAGTTCAATCTTGGGCTGTGTTCACTCATGTGTTTTAAAAGACGTGGACGTCCAGTGTCCAAAAATAACACTGTAGTCACAATGAAGAAGGTTTTCCTATTTGCTTCAAAAGTAAAAGTGCAACAAGGTAAAAAAAAAAATTCTTTCCAAATTTACTGAATTTTCACATTAAAGTTAAAAACAATGAGATATATTGAGATATTTTTGGAATGCTTTGACCTCTCTTGGTATTGGAATTGAGAGGCCAGATGGACAAATCTGTATTATATTGACATATAATACTATTTTGATATCATGAGATATCAACCACAGTGGTGCCGCAATTATATCTCATTGTTGTAATGAGATATAATACTATAGAGTATTTTATAGGTTTGAAACTTTAATGTTTGTGATGCTGTCATTCATTCTGAAATGTATCTTGTTTTGTTAGTTTTTGTCCGCTTTGTGTTTTCTCCATTGATTTTGGAGTTAGAAATTTTCGATGTGTCAAGGCACTAAGCTAGTGACCTGGTGAAACATCACTTAGTACCACCTGGGTGTGGGTCAGCGTAAAGGCTGAGCCGGGCATAATTTGGCCTTCATTTCAACGGTCCTGCATGGGGTCCAAGTGCTGGACTTGGACTCCATGCAACCAGTGGAGGTTGGTGGCATGGAGACCAATCGTCTAGCGGCGCCACTGTGGTGTATTGTATGTCCTCTTGTCCTCTGACCTCTCAAGTTGATTTGACGTCCGACTTACGTGGCGCCACTGCGGTTGATAATATGTCCTCTTGTCCTCTGACCTCTCTGGCTTTTTGGAGGCCCGACTTACGTGGCACCACTGCGGTTGATTGTAGGTCCGTTGCTGGGGGACCTCTGGTTGCTGGGGGTCCTTTGGTTGCTGGGGGACATCGGATTGCTGGGGGACCTTTGGTTGCTGGGGGACATCTGATTGAAGGGGGACCTGTGGTTGCTGGGGGACATCTGGTCGCAGGGGGACATCTTGCTGCAGGGGGACATCTTGTTGCTGGGGGACATTTGATTGAAGGGGGACCTGTGGTTGCTGGGGGACATCTGGTCGCAGGGGGACCTGTGATTGCTGGGGGACATCTGGTCGCAGGGGGACATCTTGCTGCAGGGGGACATCTTGTTGCTGGGGGACCTTTGGTTGGGGACCTTTGCAGGCTCCAACCAGAGCCTGCAAAGATGTGATTGTTTCCTCTAATTTGCGAACATGTTCTGATTGATCCTTCAGTTTTTCTTCATACTTTAATTTGATTCTATATTCGTCCATCATAACTTCTATGAGTCCTTTGTTTCTTGAGGCATACATCTCTGCCTCCCTCTTAAACTTGTCCAGCTCTTGAAGAAGTCTGTTGTCCGTTGTTACTTTGGAAGTAACAACGGACAACAACGATCGTCCTGTTTTGACTGAACCACTGATGTTGCTTTCTTGGGCTGGTGTTTTCTTCATCTGACGTTCTCTTTCCAACAAGTTCTTCAGGTTTTTGATTTCCTCCTGCTGGACTTTGAGTTCTTTCTCCCTGGCAATTCGTTGTTGTCTTTCCTCATCCAGCTCTTTCTTCAAATCATCGATCTGCTTTGTCAAATCCCAGATGTCATAAGTTGTTTCTTGCTCCTTGTCGTCGAATGCTCTTGGACTCTCGGTTGGTTCGTCTACAGGCGCAATGGGGCATTCCTCTTCATCATCAAAATGAAGGATTGCATCATAGTCTACCTGGATGTTTTCTTCTATCATCTCTATCCATGAAAGTTGTTGGTCCATGTTTGTTATCTGTTAATTCTTGTTTCTTTGAAATGTGATCTGTTGTGATAGAGCTGTGGAACAGGTCTGAGAAAACACTGTCTGAGAGCTACAATCAAGAGAGAGATTCCTTTGTTGTATCACAGTGATGTCATAACCGCTGATGTCATAGAGACCACTGGAACCGAACATGTTAATTCAACCTGCTGTTTGAAAAATGCTACGCAGTAGCACTAATGACATAGATGGAGGAGAATGATCCGGACTGTGCAGCTAAAAACAATGAATGAGACGTGGAGGAGGTGACCAATCCTCGGCATTAAGTTGGCAACATGTTGAAGATTGAAGGCTCACAGGTGAGCCAGAAGCCAGAACTGCTGACAGCACAGTAAACAGATATCATTCAAATGGTGAAGGAGCAGATATTGGAATGGAAATCAACTTGCACACAGACCTGAAAATGCTAACTGCAATGCTAACTGCTAACAGAATTTAAAAAATGTACATTTACACATCTTTATGTAATATAGTTGAAATGGTTCAGGTTAGGCTGCATAGTGACGCAGATGGTAGCACTGTTGCCTTGAAACAAGAAGGTCCTGGGTTCGATTCCCGGCCTGGGGTCTTTCTGCACGGAGTTTGCATGTTCTCCCTGTGCGTGCGTGGGTTCTCTCCAGGTTCTCTGGCTTCCTCCCACAGTCCAAAAACATGACTGTCAGGTTAATTGGCCTTCCCAAATTCTCCTTAGGTGTGTGTGTGCATGGTTGTTTGTCTCTGTGTTGCCCTGTGACAGACTGGCGACCTGTCCAGGGTGACCCCGCCTCTCGCCTGGAAGCTGGAGATAGGCACCAGCACCGCCTGACCCCGTTAGGGAAAAGGGTGACCGGAACATGGATGGATGGCAGAGGAGCCATTTTTTTCCTCTGCAAAAAAAAAAAGGCTCCTCCATCAGCCCTTTAACAACGTTTTTGCCAGCGTTCCACTGAGTAGTAGATCCTATAATGAGCTCAGTATGTGTGCAGTTCCTCCAGGTGTTCACTAATTGCTGCTGGCTAGTCTGAAGGAGCTGAGGGGGGCAGGAGAGGGAGGTTTGTGAGCAGAAGCTCAGAAGCTTGGAAACTGCAGTTCTGAGGAGGAGCTGAGTCTTGAAGGCAGAGCACCAGGCAGCCAGGCGTTTTTCACAACTAAATGGTTGCCATGGAGATTAAAGGACTTGTCAAACATTCTTGAAAGAAACAAATCAACACTCCCGTTATGTTTCTGATGAGGGAATAACATAAGAACACGAAGTAACGCTAAAAGAGTCGACAAGATATTGCTGCCCCTTTAAATTTTACTCATATCCTTGTAGAGCGATTTAAAAAGTCAGCTTTTACCTGATTTTAATCTGTCCAAAATCTGCCAGATAGCGCACCCTACAGGTCAAAAGATGCTCTTTCACCTGGCAGAGGGTATATGAGGGGGCGTTTGTGCTGCTGCTGGCTGAGGCATCATGTTTCTCATCTTCCAGTAGGCTTTTTTCAGTAGGCTTGTTCCTACTTGTTCTTATTGTAAAGACCGGTGTGATTTTTATCTTGAAAGGTGGTATAGGATTTTTTTTTTCTTTCTTTCTTTTGTTACCTTTACTTTGCAGCAGTACTTCTCCAAAAGCTTCTTCAGGAATCCTTCCTGTAGTTGCATTTCAGCACTTTCCTCCGCCATGTCCGGCTGCAAGGAGAAACTTCCCATGATCTTCTCACTGTTGGAGTGAAAAACAGTACCAGTCACATGTTGTTGTTGTGACATGTGGCTGACACCGAAGCAAATGAAAATCACGTCCCACTGAGAGAAGGCCTCATGGCCTTCTCTCAGTTCACTTAAGAGTCAGATCTGATCACTTGACTTTCTCGTGACATGGAAAAAAAAGTTAAAAACCCAGAATTCTCTAAGAAATTGCAGCCAATTGCAGTATGTCAGGGAATTAATTAATATTAATAAATCTATTATTAGATTTAGTAAAACTTCTGTGGTCCAGCTCTGCATTGCAGTTTAAAGTATTGTAATATACAAACTTTGTTTCAAAGTAAATGCAAAGAATGATTCTGTGTACTTGACTGTGGAATTCATGACTCTACCTAATTCATGACAAAAGTCTCCATGACCTGGATTGAATGTTTCCATTCTGCCCATAAGAAGTTTTTTTTTCACATATCAGACCAGCTGGGCTTTTTTTAGACTCCAAATTTGTGTTTTAAGCACAACATGTTGCTTTGGTGTGGTTTGATTCAACAGCAAAGCAAAGTTAAAATGTCAGCAAAATTATCTGCGCTTTTTTTTTTTTAACTTCCTCCTCAGCGCCTCCCTTTTGCTGGTACTTTTGTTCACAAATATGTTATGTGCTGCCCAGACATGTTTGTTTTCTGTCGTGATTGTTGATGCAAACACCCGTACAGATCATTCAGTTCAAATGTGTCGACTGCTCCTGCAAACATGCATAAACAACGGCTTTCACTCAGGAACTTTGTGAATTCCTTCATGGCATCATGGTAGGTCACAAACTGTGCAATTTGTCCAGTTGTGAAATTTCCTCCTTACAAAATTTGATAGTAATCTGTTTCTGGTATTATGACAAAGTGGGAGCAACTCAGCTACAAATGCTTAGGCCACATAAAAGCATGGTCAATAGACGCTGAGCCAAAGGGGACGCAAAGGCGGCCAGCTTTCTGCAGAGCCAATTGCAACAGACTAGCAAACTTCATCTGTCTTTCTGGTTAACACACTACATCAGCAACCCGATGCACAAGTGTGGGTTTGCCAGTTTCTGTGAGGACAACACAACTGGATAACTATTGTAAAACTAGACTGTTTCAAAGTGCTGTTGAGAAAGAACCTGACTAAGAGGCACAGAATCCAGAAGAATGTCCACAAAGTTAATTTTGTGGAAAACCTTTAGTAGATGAATTAACAATAGGAGTTCACTCAACTTCATTTACCACTGTGTGTCCATGTGCTAGAGATGACCTGCAAGAGTAGATGACCACACAACCTGTCATCCCGCTGCTCCGGGGAGACAATGCTCCCTGGAGCAGCGTCCTGTTCCAGGGAGTATTTACGCTGGACAAGGGACCAATTACCCCCAACTTTTTGAGAGTATGTGTGTGAATGCAGACTATGTATGTGGTAATCGACCTGCACTTCTATAGGACTTTATCTGGTCCAGAGAACTCAAAAGGACTTTACACTACATTCAGTCATTCACACATAAACATACACGCGCATGCGCCTACACAAACACACACACAAACACACACACAAACACACACACACACACACACGCATTCACACAATGTAGTAAGTTACATTGTAGCCACAGCTGATTATGAAATGGTGTCTGTATCTAAATATTTAATTGTGGCTCTGGCCATCCAGCTTCGGGTTTTCTGAGCAAGTTTTGAGTTGGTTGTATCTTCTAGAGGTTTTCTTTCTGCAATGCCCTTTATTTCCATTAAGTCTGACCGCACACATAACTCATTTCACAATGCAATACTTTGCATTGTCCAGTTACATAAAATTGGATTCAAATAAGTTTAAGTTTTTATTTGTATGAATACCTTTGCAGGACATTGCACACACCTTCAACCAATGACTATGTTTAAAAAGTTATGTCCATCGCAGGGGGTACAAGGAACACCCTTACTGCTATTTATGCAACCTTTCTAAGTCCATTGTCTTTCAAGCATTGAGAGCATCAGATTGACAACCTTCCAATAGAAATACAGCAACAAAACATTCCTTCATTCCCTCACCTCTTGTATTTGTTGAGGATCCAGTCCAGCAGAGCATACAGATCCTTTACCTCGGTCACCTGCGGCTCCAGCTTCCTCAAGTGCTGCCCGACGATACTGTGGTAGCTCTTCACATATGTGCTGAAGACTTTGAAGCTGGGTGGGTAGGACCATCGCAGCTCCCGCTTCACATTCTCCAAATCCTCTACAATAGTTTTTCCCAGGAGCCCGAGATGGACCGCCAACCAGGATAGATTCTGTTCCTTCTTCTCCAGGTGAACGCCGTTGACCTTCACCTGCACGCCCTGGGACACCGCCTCCTTCCAGGCCTCCATCCAGCTGTCTGATAAGCCGCCTGGCTCCTCGGCCCTCTTCTCCTCCTCCTGGATGATGCGAGCCACGTGGACCAGTAGTGCCTTGTTCCTGGCAGGAAAGGAGTTGGAATCACAGACTATGGTGCAAATCTTTTTCCTGAGGTCCGTATAGAGGAGGGCCAGGTCTTTCTCCTTCTTCGCCATCTCCATGGGGGAGTCGTCACCAGTTTGCTCTTGCTCCTTCTGAAACTCCAGTCGCATGGCCAGCAGGTTCACATGAGCTTCCTCAAGAACCTCCATCTCTATCAGCTTGTTGATCTGCATAACTGAAGGTAAAAAATGAAAAATAAACAAATTGCAGATACGTCTTCTTTTTATTCATGCCTGTACAGTCACTTAGACGTCAGTTTCTCTCTAAATTGCTGGAAGCTGAATTATTCCTTCATTTCTACGTCATAATCCATTTTTTAACCTGCTGCTTTTGTATAAACAATCCAAACCCAACAGGAAACATGAGGGAGCAGCATCACAAAATGTAATGTGTCTTTTAAACCAGCAGCAAGTCACAAAAGAGGCATTGCAAGCCCTCTTTCAACTTGCTCCTACTTTACGTTGCTGGAAGTAACTTTAAAGAAATAAAAAAGTCCAAAGAAATCTTTTAGAAAACCCTGAGAAGACTACAGATGGAAGAACTTGGCAGCTTCTGCTTCTGTCCTGTAATACAGAAGCTGAAAGTTCAAAAATCGAACATTTTTTCCATTAACAGATGCACCAAAATAAGTAATTTCAGACGACATTAACCACAACACTGGTCAGGTTCCCCAGAGTTACTTTAAGTCACTCACTTCCAGGATCAGGAATGACTTTTACATTAATGTTTTCCCATTAATGTAAAGACATTAATGGAGATTGCAAAATGGGTTCAACTCATCCTCCTCCAACATCAAATTCCTCAAATGAGACTGAATCATCCATAGCAGTTTTAATTGAAGTGGATTATCTTCCCTTGTGAACGTTTACACTACAGACGTCTTCTGTGACGTTTCGTGTTTGTAGCTGAAACAAGATTATCTTTCGCTGCTTGTGTTGCAGAAACAGAGGCAAAGAAGAGATCTGCATGTACAGACACATTAGGACAACTGGAGCTGCATGAGACAATTTTTCTATTCTTAATTCTTGTTTCCCCACAAGCGGTGAGAAACAAGAACGGTGAACAAGTCTCAACCTGGTGACTTTCCAGATAGTAGATGTTGAACTTGGCCTATTTGTTTAGATTTTATTTGAACAGATGAACACTATGAGATCACTAATTTTATCCACGTCATGTCGACTCCTTTTTCAAATTTAGCTGACAATAAAATAATCCAGAGTAATGTGCAGTAATACAGTGACTCACACAATAATCATGTTCCTCTTTCAATTTTTTTTTCAAGAAACCACGTATTGTGTTGTGATTTTATGAGACATAGAAACACAAAGCTGAACATAATTGTGAGGTAAAAGGAAAATTATACTGAACATGGCTTTAGTTTCATTTATGAAAACTAAATGGCTTTAATTTTCATAAATGTACTACACTTAGATGTAAGATAACTCATGATCAATCAGATTGAACACAAAGCGTCTGTAAATATCAATATTCAATTCTGGTCTCAATTGTATTTAGATCTGGCCTTGGACTGGGCCATTCTAACACATGAATATGCTTTGATCTAAATCGTTCCCTTTGTCTGTATGCTGAGGTTGTGGCTCCGGTCTTTGAGCCTCCAACAGGTTTTCATCCATCCATCCTTCAATGCTCTCTGAGTGCAGACACTGTTCCTGCCATAGAACCGCCTCCAACTTTCATGTCCATCTAATCTGACCAGAGCACATGTCAGATCAGATTACATGAAACAAAGAAGCCTAAAGACACTAACACCTTCAGGACATGGATATAGACAGAGCAAGCTTCTGGGTGAGGTGTCGGTGTTCAGGTGGGGTTGGTTGCTTCGGTCCTGATGGCACGGCGGTTGGCTTGACTCCACTCGGCTTGCCGCCGCCGCATCACAGCGGTGGTGAATACAAATGTATGCCACCGTTTTCAGATTTTTCTTTGCTGAACACATTACAATGAAAATGATTTTCTTTTTTTTTGTTTCATTTTCCTGCTTTGACTAGTCCACCTCGTGAAGACCTGTTAAATTACAATAAAGTTTGGTGGTTGTAATGTGGCAAAATGTGAGAAAGTTCATGGGGTTTTAATATACATGAAACCCACAGCTTGGCATTTCTCTAATATGTGAAATGTCAGCTTATACAGTTTGCTGTGCAAGTCATCACTTTGTATTCCACGTCTTGGCCATGAATGTATTTTTATGTAAGTTAGTGATATTCTGTTGCCATGCACACGTAACAAAATGCAGCACTTCTTATTTGCAGCACATCATTTAAATGGTCAAAAGATGAAAAACAAAGTTATAAAGAATGACAGTAATGATGGCTTTCGGTTCCTTTTAGAGCCCCAGCTCCACCTCTTACAGAACCTTCCACCAAGCAGAGTGCTCTGACATTTCAAAGGCTCTGTGGGGAAAAAGCATCTTTTAGCTTCTAGATGGGTGGAAAAGGGTGGAAAAGTCCACATTGATCGTCTCGATGTAGCAATGTGGAGGGAGGACGAAAGGCCTCAAAGCACAAACTCTCTCCATTTATATCTGCTTCGGCTGTACCCAAATAAACTGATTGAGAATAAAATAACCTGTGATGAGACATACCTGACAGTGGTGTGTGTGGAATTTCAGGCAGCGTGTACAGCTCCTCCATCTCCTCCATCTCCTTTTCTTTCTCCTCTCTCATTTCCGGCAGGGCCTCAGCGGCCGGCTGCTCCTGCTTGGCCGCTTTGTCGTTGTCCTTCTTGGAGGGAAATCTCAGACTTCTGCGAATTGAGGATCCTTTCTTCAGAATGGAGTCGGTCAGCTTGGACATGTTGGGATCTGAGCACAGAAAGAACGCAGTTTCAGTGAACGCACCGTACGTCTTATTGGGGGACTCTGGGTGAAGAAGAGTCCGTTAGCTGCTTTAGTGTCAGTGAGGTCTGAGGAAACATCAAATCTGTAAGAAGTGATTAAAAAGAAAACTGTGATGTGAGCAAGTGAGAGTAAAACTTTCAGCAAATAACAGGAAGGCTGAACACATTACAATGAAATGACTACAATTTTCAGGGTCATATTTTTAAAATGTTGGCATCCATTTAGAAATTTAAGTGTCACATTAAGGTTTTTGATCATTTAGTTAGCAACTCTACCCACGTTAACTGCTAACTTAAGATGCTAGAACATGTTTAAACATGTCAGATCTGTAATCATTTTATCAGTGTGTTGAAATACCAGAAGCTCATCATACTCTCACTGTTCTCTCACACAGCGGCATGACTTCTGCACTGCTTTGAAATTAATGACTGACAAATTATGAAATGAGGGTTTGAAACACATCAATTAATTCAACTGTCAGACATACCTGTCTGAGAAAAGCAAAGGGAAAAGACAGCCGTTTGAGCCAGCTAATCCTGAGCTGCGAATATGAGGCTCATTTGCATGACAACCACTGCAAAACTACTTTCACTTCAAAGCATGTTGTTGAAAAGTTACCCATGCAGGGCTCAGCCGGTTCCCAAGTTCTGTCGGCCGTCACTGAATTGCACCCCCATCAGAAACATGTCTAATCACAATGCAAACATCAGTGGAGGTCAATAAATGACCTCCACTGAACCCAACCATAAAGAACAGGAGAAAAAGAGAGACAGAAGTTTGGTTTTGAGACTATGGAAGCAAACTGACAGACATACCTGTCTTTGAGCGAGCTAGAGGTTTGCGTTTGTGTTGAGTCATGTCTGTCAGATCTTCATCCGTTTTTTGAAAGAAGCTCCCACTGGTCTTCAAGGGTGACGCAGCTGGAGAGCCCGCACTGAGACCTGGTGGGAACGAGACGATGTCAGCGCAATACTGAGTAAATATCTCTGTCAAGTCGTGTATCAGCAGGTGTACCTTATGTATTTGTGTGTATTTGTGTGTGTGTCACCAGCTGGGTGATGCAAATGAAGCTGAGCTGGAGACCAATGGACTGCTTATAAAGAGCTCTGAAGGGAAATACCAGAGGCACAAACAGGTTTCTCAGCTTGTCAACCGACAATAAATACTATTAACACAAAGTCACATGACTTTCAGTCAATGAAACTGAGCATGAAGATAAACTCACCCTCATAACATAGCTGGTAAAAGAAAGGGCGACCATGCAACCACTGACCTACAGGACAAGCCTGGATGGAACATTTAATACAAAACACCCGGGTTTGTCCGTCCATTTGTAGAGATTTAAAGTGTTTGTTTTGCTCCGTCAGACGTTTGGGACATCAGGTAAAATGTGACATGATGAGGAAAAGGACAATTTTGCTGTTGCCTTGAATATTTCAGGCGTTGAGTTTGGTGATATTCTAACAGACCAGTGTATTGCCACCCTTTGTTGTACCTGGTACCTGGTCTTCTACCTATACTGTCCCACATTACCTGAATTCAACTCATTTTAAGGCCTCCTAGAGGAGAACGTTTGCTTAATCATGTTGTATGTTTTGTGTTTTTTTTTTTTTTTTTTTGTAACATTTGAGGTTGTGCTTTTTAAGTATCTGAGGAAGTTTTAGTGTTTACTAGCTCTGGTTCCTGAAGTCCCATGCAGGGGAATGTCTGCAAGGAAATTCAAACCTGAATTCAAAGATCAAAGAACAGCAACGTAAAGATCAGGTTCTCAAATGTTTCTCTTCTACCTGAAACAACTTTTTTATATGATAAGTGCCAGCAAAACGACAAAACAGCTGAAAGTTTGTCTAAATCAAGACTCAAAGGCCACCTGTTGGAGTTTCTTTTGAACCATAATAAACAGAAGATAGACAGATGGTGCAATGTTATTGGTCTGGTTGCTGATTGACTGAAAAGAGTCAAAAATGATTAATAAAGTACTCTATAGTTAGATATTTGGGTAGGGTTAGGGATCTATATTTAAAATTTGCTGACATTTGAGTTTCAGTTATAATAATTTGTTGCTCTGAGCGTAAACTCTGCTTAGAGTTTGCATCAGTGGTAGAATGAACATGTTGAGCAGGACCAACCAGAAAAACACAGTGGGAATGGCAAAAAGTTTCAATTCTCAACCAACGTGAACTAAACAAATATCGTCACATCACTCCACCTGAATCATGTGTGTTCTCTTTAGTTCTACTTTCATTTCCTCGATACGTTTCAATGAATGTCAGCAAAGGTCTAGTGCCTGAGCTTACCTGTTGAAAAGACAAAGAGTTTCTATTTACGCCCAAACACAACAACGCTCGACCTTTTCTTTCAGGTTTCTTATCTGTTTTGCAGCTCAAGCTACTCAGGACCAACTTGTACAAGTTTAATATCCACCATGCAGAGGAAAGTGATGAATGAAACCTCTTCCAACATGTGTTCACAGTTTCTAGTTCGTATACTGAACGTACTTTTCTAACTACCCACAGTCCAGCAAGGGGATCAGTGGCAGCATAGAGTTCAAGATGTTGGTCAATAAAACTTCAACATTTGATTGTAGGAGCAAAGTTATTTCACATTAACAAAAATTTTTCTGTCTAATTGTTCTTAGCTGTCGCATAAATGTTTTATTTCAACATTTCTTCAGATTAAGTTGCAAAACTTTGAGTGCTCCAGTAATTAGTCGGTTCTTTCACAGCATTTCCATTTGCAGATCTGTTGGGGATACATCTATTCTGTACTCTGAAGCTTTTGTCCATTTATCTCTGCATTGCAGCTCGAGCTCGATCCGGCTGGATGGATGCTAACCCGTCTGTTAGCATAGATGATCACAGTCTCGCCACAGTCTGGTAGACGTGTTGGCCAAGCAGGTCAGTTTTTTTCTCCTTTCACTAAAGTAACTTCTTCAACATGTTAGCTTTGTCCCCAACATGGTTTAACGGTAAACTCTTTGAAAACTCTGATGACTTTCTCCTTCCAGTTGTCCTGTCAACATGTCTTCCTGTTTGAGCTCCTCCAGAGTTGCCATTGGGCTCCTTGTTGCCTCCCTGGTCAATGCTCTCTTTAAAGCAACCCATCAGTTTGGTGATCAGCCATTTTTGGTAAGGTTTTGTGGGACAGTTTCAACAAATATGCAAGAAAAACAAACAACTTTTTTGTAAAAGTTACATGCTGCAACTTTCAAATTCTTTTGTTAATGACTAACAATGACACTGAGAATAAACAAGAACGGGTTTTCCATTTGCTGCTGCCAGATTTTGCTCCGGTCCTCCAGAACCCGTATACCAACTTACTTACAGTACAAACATCAGAACGACAAGTTTACGTAGGTTTTCTACATGGCTCTTTTGGAAATTACTAATAGTTCATCAGAAGAAAATCAGCATTGCAACACTGCGTGTGCTTGATCTTTAGCTGTGCTCTCAGTAGAGCTTCTCCCTGTGGGAAGGATGAACCAACAGCTACAAAGTTCACCAACTCTAGTGTTTAGCTCATGAATATTCAGAGGGTTAAAAGGTCACTACAATGACATCAGACCTGCTGTTCTAGGGGTAAAAAGCTATGAGAAGGAGAAACTTTTGGGGCTGAGACTGAATGTTACTCACTTGGTGAGGCCGGCGGTAGAGAGGAGGGCGACTCTGACTCTGCTCTGGATGTGACCTTTGAGTCCTTCCTCTTGGGTGAGCGGGGGCTCTTCTCGGCGGGTCGCCTGATGCTCAGCCTGAACGTCTGGAGCACGCCCAGAGTCTCTTTCACCACTCCGTTGGCTTGCGTCTTTCCGTCGCTCTGGAGGGACACGCTGTCCTCCTGTGGGTTTTCGCTGGACTTATCCATTGTTGGTGGGCTCTCAGGCCATACAAGACGCAATCGTCGGGAGGGAAATTTCAAATAAAATCACCCGGAAAATTGAAAAGTGAGTCCACTCCTTTGAGGGCAACAAACTGTGGATGATCTGTGGTGCTGTTGGCCCTTAGCAGAGGCGCGTTCTGTTTACAGATAACACAGGATCCAGTCTGTGCAGTTCTGATAACAAGAGTTCACCCTGAGGAGAATGTCAAAGCATAAATTAAAAGCTGCAGAGAGGCTTTTCTGCAGATAGTTACGGACTTCCCACTGAAATTTGCTCCGGTTCTCTCCGAGCCCTGAAAGCGGAGAGCAAACACACACAACCAGCAATCAGCTACCAAAACAAGGCAGTAAAACTTTCTTCGGTGAATTTGTATTTGTGATCACACACAGAGAGTAAATCATTAATGTCTGTTTTGCAGCAAATGATTAATCACTCAAATCAACCTTTAAATATTTGCATTATTCGTACTGATTTTTGAACTTGCAATGGGAAATTTGTCAATGAGCGGAATGATTTCAAGCTCAATCCACTTAAATCTAAAACATATGAATGGTTTAAAATAACTGAAAAACTTTATCTTTTTCTGAAAAACTTTATCTTTTTCTATTCCATGTTTTTGGAATAGAAAAATGAAATGTAAAATCATGGTTTATCTGTATTTATGCTATGCTTCAGAAAGCAAAATTATTTTTTGTAGTTCTTCATATCCAAAAGTCAGTAATTTTTTATATCTCTCTGAAGAGCTTCCTAAATTATAACAGCATTACATTTCCTCAGTTCTACATTTTATATGGGATTTTATTGTACTTGTCTAATAATAACAATGATAATAATAACAGTAATTATTCAAGTAGTTTTTTTTTTTTGCAAGATCAGCACTTTGCATTTCAATAACTTCATGAGAAATGTTTTTGAAATGAATCCCATGTGAGTGAGTGAAACAAAAGTTTGACCCAATTAGTGAATCCACAACAAAGCAGCCCAACCAGGTACAAATACTATTGTGAGGAAACCATCACTGATGGAAGATGACTAAGAGACGTTTACAAATGGAGAGCAAAAGCTTCTAGAAATGAATCCGATTGGTTCAGACTGCTGCTGTGATGTCACTGCTGCCACAGGCCGGTGGACAGCAGCTGCCAAAATGAAGCTGGAGGTTTTCCAGCTTCAGTTGTACCAAGGTCACAGTTTATTTTACAGTTCGATTTTTGGTATTAGTCACTCACTAAGTATTTGCCATTACATGTTAATTAGTGGACTGTAATTTAAGAGAAAGGGTTACCCACTTGAATTCTTTTAAACGACATATGTTAATGTATTATTAAACGTTAGTGATCCCTGAAAGTAAAACTCTCATTGCTGCACCTCTATGTTTTTGTCACTATGTCAGCTATTTATCATAAAGCTGCTCCAAGTACTTAGTAGACAAAGTAATTAATTGATGAGGCAAATATTATTAACTTAAAGTCGCAATAACAATGTGTCCTTGAATTATAGTGCATAAAATTCACAAGGGTATCAATTATTCAGATAAATTTAAGTATTTTGAAGCTTTTCCTCTCAAAAGTATGAAAATACTAATAATCATCATTTATTTAGTAAGGATTGTGAGGTCACTTCCACCTCAAGGTGCTGCTGCTAGTTAAGACGGATGAAAAGCATGCAAGTCATTTTATTTTGCATCTGAGTGCCTTTGGGATTTGTACCATGAGGCACAAATCAAAACCCAAGGACAAAGAGTTAATAAAAAAAAAAAAACAGAAAATCAGAACAGTGTTCCCTCACCTTTGGACAGCAGCTCAGGTAAGATCCAGTTTTGCTTTCATTTTTTTTTTTTCCACAAACATGACTCGATAATTTCACGTTTTGAAGGTTGTCAGGCAGGTATTTAAAAAATGCCGTCAGACTAACCGGGACAGAAAAAGAATAAGACGCTTGAAGCTGAAGGAAGCAAAACAAGGAGCGCAGGCGGCTTGTTAAGGACACAGTCACCTCTGTGAGTATAGAAGTAATCTGAGCTCGGAGTGCCTAGATTTTTGAGTTAACCATTTACACAACGAGGAAGTGATGATTACTGCTTGACTGGCAGAAAAAAAAAAAAAAAAAAAAAAAACAGAATGAAAGACGAGTGGTTTCCTGTTTTAAGGAAAAAGAAACCCAAAAAACTGTCACTTGGTAAGTAAATTTCTTTCTCCTGAATGCAGAAACTTATATTTTTGCTCATAAATCAATAGATGGAATCATTTATGACCAACGCAATGAGTTATATGTGTAACTTAAGTTTGTAATTTAAACATCTTACTCTTACATTCAGATCCCTCACATACATAAAGCTGCATGCATAAACTATAGTTATAGTTAATATGTCAAACTCTTTTCAAGAGCTTGCATGCAATATCTTCCCACACCACTGGATGGCGATGTAGACCACATCCGTTTGTATTTAATTTGTTCCTATCTGTTGTAGTACATGGATGTGAATAGAATCTTGACTTGCATTTCGAGAAAGCATATTAATTTGTAAATGTTACAACTTGACATTCTATCCAGTTTCACTCCTACAGAAAAACAGAATCAAATGAGGTTGGAGGATTCAGTTGGATACAAAGATCTGTCTGTGGTTTGCTGCAGCTCAGTTTCCTTTCGGGATATTAATAAAACTGAACTAAACTGTGTAAAAATAATCACCAGTTTCTTTGTAAATAAACCTCTAAATGTAAACATAACCATGATTTTAAGGCTGATGACAGTCTGTGCATTTTTAAACTGCTATGAGGCGTATGAGATTGGTCTTCTTTTAAGATGGCGGCGGTCCGGCGCAGCGGTGGCTCAGTGGAGAAGCTGGTTAGGCTTCAGTCCTCTACAGCGTCACAGGTTTGAATCCTGGCCTGTTGATCTTTGCCGCATGTCTTCCCCCTCTCTCACAGCCCACATTCCTGTCGAATGACTGTTGAATAGGCTGCCAGAACCGAAAAAAGGAAGTAAAAAAGATATCTAAAAATTGGCGTCAGTCTACATTATCTTAGCAGCTAGCTTCAGACTCCAGAACCAACGAGTGAAGGGAAATATAAAAAGTCAAGTATTAAGTCTTTAAAATTTTTTAGCAGGCCCTCGCTTCCAAAATATCATACAATAATAATAAATAAATAAATAACACTTACATAAAAAATACATAAAATACATAAAAAAAACTATGGTCGGCCACCTTTGGCCCTTGGGCCTCGAGTTTGACATGTGCGGTATAGAGTGATAATTTTCTTTTTCTGAATTTAGGTAATTACGAAAAACTGGGGACATGAAAGATATAAATAAATCCTCTGAACAGCAGTGTCATGTAATGTTTGGATGTTTTGTAGAGTTTTGACTCCATTGTTCCATTTAGTGGAACAAAGGAGTTGTGCTAATTGTGAGAAATGTTATGAAAACCATGTTTACTACATTGTGCTAAATGAATTGGAAAAAACCTGCAACTGTCACTCAATTAATTTTAAAATGACACAATGTCTGCAAAAAGGAACGAATAATAATGAACTTAGGATGCGTTTACTAAAGTAAACACAAAGTCTGTATTAAAAACTGTTGCATTTTAAAATTGGACGCATTCATTTTTTTCTATTTCAGTGTGTGAGGTTCCTTTTTCCAATAAAAGCATTGAATTCTTGAATATCAAGAGCTTTTGTTCCTGTAAATGAGTCAATTTCACTTAGATGTCCACCGTTTTAGAGTTCTCTAGCTGTTAGTCTGTGTGTTGTAGAGAAAGTTTCACACACCCTCCCACACAGAAACACACACCACCCACATGAGTGCACCATGGTGTTACCTTGTACCCACAGGCAGCCCGGGAGAGAGCAGGAATTGTGATGCTGGAACTGGTGCGCCTCACCAAAACCTCAACATTCATTTAGCTCATACTGTCGCAGTGCAAACACTAAAATCACACACGCAATTTTTTCTATACTAACATATTTTCTTTCTTTATTCGAAATTGCTTAAAACATATATTGAATGTTGACTGAAACCTCTAAGTTAAGAAATGTATTAATTACATCTGTCTGTCAGCAACCTGCCCGAAAAATAGGATGGTTAGATTTAAACTTGCCCCCGCCAGGAACAGCTGTGTTTGTATGCATGTGTGTGTGTGTGTGTGTGTGTGTGTGTGTGTGTGTGTGTGTGTGTGTGTGTGTGTGTGTGTGTGTGTGTGTGTGTGTGTGTGTGTGTGTGTGTGTGTATACAGGCTGGGGGGTTAACAAGAGCATATTAAAAAAAAAAAACTGAAACACTTAACTAGTAGTACTTTCTATGTCAAGGAAAAATAATAATTGCTTCTTTATCTGGGAGACAAACACACCAGACAGACAGAAAAAACTGAGCCAGTTGTAAAATGTACAGGATGGAAGAGAGCATGTCTAGTTGTAGTAAAAGTTCAGCCAAATGCTTTTCAAACATATATGCTTTTCATGTATAGATATCTCAAATATACATGAAAGAAATTTGTCATGGTAATTGAAATTGGACCATTGAGTCATCACAAAATGGTTCCCTATAAACCCTGTAACAAGTAGCTATAATGAGCTCAGCTGATGTATGGTTCCCGATTTTTGAAAAAACAAACAAAAAAAAAAAACACAAAACAACAACAACAAAAATAAAACTCCCTTGTTCTCAGGTTAAAGAGAGATAACAGGTGTTCTACTAAAACTGACACGAGAACACCTCGTGTCAACCAATTTGTTGAAAACCTAAATAAAGTGGGTTATTAGTGAGTCAAAAGCAACCATACTCAACAGAAACTCAAATAAACTTTTTTTTTGTTTCCTCTTCTAAATTTCATTCTGTTAGGATTTCTGCTTTATGACTCATTCTGTTTCCACTTCTCATGACACCGGGGGGAGCGGCGCGGGCAAAAGGAGGTGAGATGGCTTTCATGCCTCTGCTCTCAGACGCTTTGTGAAAATGGTTTCAGGGGGAAATGTGGAAAAAAAAAAAAGGAAGACAGAAGATAAGAAGACGAAGACAACTGATGAGCGTCAGAGCGAGACAATCTGACAGGAATATGGCAGGAGAGAGGAAGGATTAATACGGTGAGAGATGAAAGACGAATAGGAGGAACAGAATATCGTGAGCGGTGTCAGGTTAACGGATCTGGATTATAACGACAACAGGGAATTCTTCTAGTGAACATTTTCGCTGCTTTGACTCAGGATGTAACCCTTTTTAGCTGCATTTAATATAATTAACAGCTTTTTGTGTGACGAAACAACATAAAGTTATGCCTCAGTGTGAAATAGAAAGAAAAATTATTTATGCTTTTTGTCAAAATAAAAAAAGAAATCTGGGGGGTTTATATTCAGCCCCCCTGTGTCAATCATTTGTAAATCCACATTCAGCTACAGATGGAAATCTTTTGAGCAACGACTCTACGAAACGTTTTACACGTCATGCCTCATGATCTCCTCTAAGAACATGTGTTCCATAAGAGCTTTAAAGCTTGAGATACTTTTATCATCAAACCTTGGGTTTGTCATTAGAACTATGCCAATTGAAATCATGAAAATAAATTTGCTTTAATGGGAGACATGCCAATTTGGGAAAAAAAAACCCAAACCAACAACTCATGTTCCACCATCAGAAGAACGAGCGCGAGGTTGAGGTGGTTTTTCAGCCATGCCAAAATAGACGTGTTCCTCAAAATTGTGAAACACAGAAATCAGCAGTCGGATGTTACTACTGGCAGAAACGACAAACAAAATGACAGGCTGGCTTCATTACCTCACACAGTTCGTAAAACTTTGTGCGTCATCCCAACATGTTGGATCCACAACTCTTCTGTAAAACCACCAACCCCAATTTTCCCAAAACATGCCACTGCTAAGTAGGCGGGGCTTGTTGCTCCAATGCCTTAATGAGACGCTGATTGGCCAATAGATGATGAACTCTAGCGCCACGAATGAATTATGAATATGTCTCATGTAGCTGTTTACATCTGTCGCTGCCATGATTGTTCATGACTTCTCGCGTGAACAAACGTATTCACGTGATTTTAATTTACTTTCTTACACAGAAAAAAAAGACTATGGGTTGCCTACTGACTTAATTTGTCACATGTGATTGAATTAATCAAACTTGCTTTATGTTTGTTTAACATGGCAGTTTAATCAACGCAATATTTTTTATGTGGATAAACTGAATTTGATTACTTGTAACAAATTGACTTGTTTTTTTGTTAGATCGCCTGTTTTTTGGTGAAAAGACAGTAATTGAGTAATTCTTAGTATTATTGTTATTTTTCATTTTACATATTGACAAAGCTTTGCACTGTGCACATTTGTTATGGAAATGCAACTCAGAGTAAAGAGGCTCAGATTTCATCTCCACCCAACACACTCAGATTTTAACTTGTAAAAAGAAAAAAAAAGGAAACTTAAAACACAGATATGATTTCTCTTTCATTTCACTATTCAACCTTACATTCTGTTGGTTGCCTTTGAAAATTGGCAGTGAAATACCACGTAGCACATTGTTGCAAAGTGACAAGATTAAAAAAAGAAAAAAAAAAGAAGTTCAAAGGGTTTAAATAGTTTTAAATGCGCTGTATGAGGCAGAGATAGAAGAAAAAACCAAATACTTTAGCCTGACATCTCGCACCTCCTTAATAAGTGAAATCAAACTGATCTGAAACAACACCTCTCCCGTCTGCAAGGAATAGACGGTATCAGATACAAGTTGATTTGAAGATTAATATTCTGTCAAGTGTTTTTTTTCCCTTCAATGAAAGTGTTTTTTTTTTTTTTTCCCACATTACAGGGCTTCCTTTAAAGAGCAGTCACCGCCTCTTCACTGTGTGCTCCAAACATCAAACACATTCTGCCTCAGATGTATTTTTATCCCCCTCTGCAGCCCTCTGTCCCCTTCCAGCCCACACAATCTCCTCATCTGAAGAATGGGCCCGTTTTAAGAACACAGCCTGACCACTTCCTTTATTCTCCCCGCTGATGGCTAATTAAGGTTGTGCAAATTAAACGAGGGAGCTGTCAGACGGCAGAAGACAGGGGGAGGGGGTTTGGGTGGGAGGTGTGAAATGAAATGT